CATAGACAAGAGCTGGACAGTTATTTGATTAAATCAATAAGAAAAATTTTCTGTTTATGTAGATTTAATTAGAAGAAAATCTGGATTTTTTTTTTCCCCCAGCAATGTACTCCCTCTGCTTCCGTAGCTCAGGGTGACATTAGTTCTTATTTTTCGATGTGTACTGATAGCTGATAAACTAGCTGACAAAAAATTTGTTTGTTTGAACTGTTTTACAAGCAGTTTTTGAAAGTGATGTATGTCATTTGTCACATCTTGCAGCACGCACTTGAGAATTGTTATTTTTTTTTATTTTTCACCTGACGCGCAGTTGCCAATGGTTTATGAGTTGAGCTGGAAGAGGGTCTCTTTTGTTTATCCAAAAAAATCCATGTTGAATATGATGCTTCCATTGTTTGATTGGTTTTACAATTCAGCATGAACGAGCTTGATGTCACATCAGCTAAACGTTGGGGAACTTGTGATCCAAAGAACATTCAGGGAAAATAAGCTAGCAGCTAATAGATGCATCAGCTCTCAACTATTGAGGTGTAGGTCTGCATCAAACGATGAGAATCATAAAAGCTCAAATAAAATTTATATTTTTTTTTTCCTTTTTTTTGTTAGTAGGCTGCCCAAGGTGGTGCATAAACGCCAAGCTCAATTACTCTGACAGTCTTGATGAGCCAAGATGTCTCTGTAAACCGAAGGTTGCAAAAGCTGAGCTTTGGTGTTTGCACTTAAAATTGTCATTTGTAAAAAAAAAAAAATAAAAATAAATGCTAAACATAAAATACATAGATTTTAATAGATTTGATTTGTGCAGGTAAAAATGTAGTTAGGGTTATCAGTGGCTATCAGTTTGGTTATTTAAGATAGAATCATTTTAAATTACATTGGTAATGAATATACCAATGGGCATGTTTATCTTTTTTACGGGCTGGAATGACTGTTTAATATTTAGTAAATAACCAGCCTCCCAGACCCTTAGCTTTGGACCTGCTGTAACCCCTGGCAACCCCATAGCATTTCCTTTCAAGGATTTGTCAGTACTTCCTTGTAAATCTACCCACAAAGACAGCACTGATACAGGGCAGTGCACAGTGACAGACAGCGGTCAATGCTGGAGATAAGGGAGGATGATGAACAGTTCTTATAGGACTAAAGTAAAAAGGCTTTGATTAAGGCCACCTAAAAATCTCTTCAGAGCATTCCTTATTTCTACCTTTGTTAGTATAAAACCAGTCCCAGATTGGTTGCCATTTTTGCTCTCTCCATGTGGTGCTACAATTTGACAACACCTCAGCTCTATCTAGTAGCACGTGCTGTGACAGGAGCACTCAATGCCCTCACTGCAGTTTGTATAGGATTTTTATATGAATTAACCCCCCCTTGCCGCGGACACCACGTCCGGTCTGAACATACAGTAACAGCGTTTTTCCCTGAAGACATTTGTTGTCATGAGGCACTAAAGTGTAGTTTTAGTTTTACACAGTCATAGCTTTCCAAGAGCTAAACTGTTTGGGTTTTCCATCTTCCTCTGCTGTGCTTTTCTCCTCCATTCTTTTCTCTGCTTGTTGCCACTGTGAGTGTGTGTGTATCCAAGGGCAGAGGAACAGAATTAGCGTGCAGCAGACTTTTATTTCAGCTGTTTGCATCAAAAATAGATTAATAGAATAAATTTTTATATCGACCACATTTTAGTCGATGTCAATTAATTGGCCAGATGCTAAAATCTTTTTGATATATATGACCTGCTGATTTATCAGTCAGGCTCTAATCTAAAGGTACATTTCTGATGTTGGTGTCTTTAATTGAAATGCAATTGTAGGTGCATTAAAGTTTCGAAAACGAAAACTTTGATGAAAAGATCTACACAGGCTTGATTCAAACTGGGCATAACATTGCAACAGTCTATGTTTCCAACTACACCCCTATAATGGATAATATCAATAGCTGAGATTCCATAAACCATCAACTTGCACAAATTAAAGAAAAAAAAAATGTTAAATCGAACAGTGCAATTTCAAAAAACTTGGAAAAACTGTTCACAGTAAAACAGTTTTATGCTTTGATGGGATGGTCCTTTGAATGTATCAAAATTCGTGTATTTTGGAAAGCTGAGGGTGATCTGAAAGTGGACCTGGATGAATGGATCAATGGACAAATGGACGGACAGATGTATGTATATATGTATTTTTCAACCAAAGCTTTTCCCACTGAAGCAAGTCCTTGCTGGACCAGGACAACACATCATATTTCTGATTTCCAATCACCTCATTTGGTTACATTTTTCCAAATGTAAAATCTTTGGCTTAAAGTGGCACTGGTAATTGTGCTCCACTCAGCAGTGTAGCATAAATAAAGGTATGTTACAAGTTGTGGAAGTATGCTTATTAGAACATGGCAGTGCTTTAAGTAGGCCAATATAAAGACAGATCCATGAAACTTACCTTGCAGATGTGTTCCATGCGTCCAAACTTTGGACATATGCTCTTAACTAATCTTCGCACAGTGATTGCAAAATGGAGCTCACAGTTTATTAAAGCATGAAGTTGGATTGCAAAACCAAGAAGAAAATTTTATAAATCCGTAAGACTGGAAAAATTAGGACAAAATTTGATAAAGTGTGAGCACAGGTTTTTGCTTTGTTTTTTTAACCCCATTCACACTTACCAGGCTTTTTTAGGATATTAATTAAAAACATATTAAAATGAAAGCCTTTCAAAGTTGACTTATTATCACTCCAAAAAAATGAAGTTAATGGTAAAATTTTATTATGAGTCAAGTCTTTTTGACCTTGTCAGTCAGAATGACAACTATGAAAAAGTCGAGTGCAAGACTTGATGGCAAGTATGTTACTTCTCTCTAATTGAGTAATGCATCATTAAATATCACAGTATGCTTCACTTCTTGCCTTCTTCCAACTAATAATATGATAGTTTTGGAATACATGAGCAAAGTAAGAAATATTACAATTGAGTGGGCTACTACTCAATAAATAAAACTGAAACAAACTTTTAATCAAAAATTAGAAAAACACCATTTTTGAGTGAGAACATTTTTGAATAAGAAGCTCTTTAAATAAGGGTAAGCTACAGCTTAAAGATGGTTAAGTATCTTGTACTTGTAGACATTTACAGTTGTTGCTTCCATATTAGTTATCATGCAGCTATTAATGAAAGTACACTATAAAAGGTCAAATGGCTTTCACATCGATCTTTCAATACCCCCTACCCCTCACACACACATACACACACCCAAGGGAGCACAAATGCAGATGCAGCCAGGCAAAGACATCAGCGTCAGCAGAAAGGTCACAGCACACCATGAGTGAGAAAAAAATATATCCAAAGATGATACGATATGCAGCCTGTTGCTATGGAGCATTTCTGCAAGAGAACACACACATAAAGACACACACCCACTCATGATCCACTATCAATCTTAAAGAAACAAACACATGTCCATGAACATAACACACATGCTCAATCAGCTGTCGTTCTGTTAGTAAAGAAGCTTTAACAACTTTTTATAAGTGCTGCTCCTTCAGCCATTTTTACAAACTCTTTTTTTTTTATCCCTTTGCCTCTGTTTTCATGTTCATCCAAAAAGGCTAATGCTTAGCAACTGATTCTGGCTAGATAATCAGACTCCTGTTTACAAGAGAAAGTTAAAAAGCAAAAAGTAGGGCTGGTCTTACAGATCACAAGATCCGAGGAACATTGTCATGGTTCTTGTAAGTGCATCAGATGTTTAAACCTTTAGCTTAATTTAGGATATATTATAAGAAGGTCTTGATCTAATCAGATTAAATGATAACATAAATTTTTTTTTATAAATAGTTCATAATAGTAGTTTATTGCATTAACTTCTGCTGACGTTGTGAATCGAACTAAAAGTATATTAGTTCTAAGTCAAAAATACTGTATTAGCAATTGCACTTTCAAAAGGGACATCTGCTTCAAATGGACCCATCTTACATAACATAAAAACAAATGATTTATGAATGAAAAAAGCTAAAACAAGATTAGGGATATCACAAAGCCTCCACATTCTGATTATCTATTAATTTTGTCTGCTTACTATATAATGTCATTTATGTTTTAATGTTACACTTTATTGCGGAGATAATCCCTGTTAAACAGAACAGAACAACATTAATGAACAATATTAAGATCACTGACAGGTGTATGACAACAACAGTCTTGTTATCATGGCTTGTAATTGTATTGTATCAAATATTAAGAAAACATTATGATCCCAAAGCTGAGAAGAAGCAGGAGCAATTAGACAAATGTAAAGATTTGAGCAAACTGGACCAAGTCTAGATTGCTGGGTTTGATGCAGTCTGAAGTGGATAGTATACGTCATCAATAGTCCAAAGAATAAACAAAACTTAACCTGCAGAAAGTGTAATTGTTAAAGAAAGGGGGAAAGGCTGGACTGTGAGGTCGAGTCATCCAGTTAGATAAGAGCTCAAATTGGTGTTTAAAGAAAGGTTTCAGAAGCATTGTGCTTTGCAGGGCTACATAGCTGCAGATCATTTAGGACGTCCATGCTTATCATTCTGTTTTTCATATTCACAGTACAGCAGAAAGTAATTTTTCACATCTCTATTTTTTTCCACCCCTTAAATTCATTATAAGTGAAACAGCTAGAGTAGGATATAACTTCCCAACTTTGCATGTTTTATTAGTAATCATTTAATATATTAAGGCAAGCAATTCATGCATCAAGTTGTCCTTCATTTTCTAACAATAGATACTTCACTGATACATAGACACTTCATCCTTCATTATTACATGTTGCTACAAAACATACAATAATTGTCAGCTTCAGATTGACCAGTGATGATAGCTCAAAGTTTTGATGAGTCTATCTGTAATGGGTCTAACTGAACTTTTATGACAAGATAAGAAGAAATGTTATAGAGGCAATAATTAAGACGAATGCTGTCAATAATACATGAGTTGGTAAAACTCCAGTCTTGATAGTGGGAAGCGGAGTCCATCACTCACCTTGCGCAGAGGCAGAGACTTCTCTCTGGAAATCGCCAACCATCCGCCAGCTGTCCTGTCTATTCCTTTAACGCACCTGTTCCTTAAAATCCGTCAGAGCTCAGTGGGACTCTGCGCCATGCGCAAACATCGTTTTCTCCTATATCTTATTTCGAGCAGCGTCGTCTCCTCCGACAAAATGAAATACAAAAAAAAAAAAAAAAAAAAGATGACAACAATAAACTCCTTGTCGCCGCTTTACGTCGTGATGCGCGTTATCCTCTGGAGACCTGTCAGGTCTGCGGTTCCGCGCAGGTGGGAAGAGGAGCACGGAGCTCTACAGAGGAGACCAGACGGAGAATTGAGTTTTGCCGGCGTCGGAGGAGAGGGAAGGGAGTAGGGAGAGCTGGAAGTGTGAGAGGAAGCGGCAGCCTTGACAGGGATGAATGAAAGACACAAAGCGCTCTCGCTTTACGCGGTGTGTGCGATGGAGTCCAGGCTGAATGCTGGATTTGTTCAGTGAATTAGTGTGAGCTCCTGTCCACTGAGCTGGTCTCTACTGACTTCAGACGCTTCAACTACATCTCAATTAAAAAGAGTAAAATGCACACCACATTAAGCTGTTTAATTAACTTGGGTGTCATTTTCTGCTTCTCCTTATTCTATTTTAGCTATTTTAGGGTCCCTTTCTTTTACTTTCACGCGTCCAGCAATGGTCGCCTACAGGTGTTTGAAATAATTATTTGTATAAAGGTCGATATCCTGATTGATTATTTCAAATTTCTGAAAATGATCCAGACCGGATGGTCTATCTGGTGTAGCTATGACAACATCTTCATGAGGCTGCTATAGGTTTCAGGTAAAGCAAAGGGAGTTTATTGTATTTGTACATTCATATACAAGGTCATTCAAAGTAGTTTTAGGGGAAATTAAAGTAAAAACAAACGTTTAAAACAAGAAATGCCTTAGAATGAAAATGTAAGCAGCAGAAAAACATTGGAATGCCAGATTTACAGAGAAAAACTTGATGAAAATGAACAGTGGTTTCAGATTTTGGGTTAACTTAACCTAATTTTGTTGCCAGAAACGCTAACAGTAAACAGTTATTTGAATACTTAATAAGTTAACAACAACAAGTCTGAAATATATTTAGGCCCAAGTACTACCTGATCTTTATAGAACACTGAGGATTTAAAAAACATGTACAGTGATTCCAGTTGATAATCTGTGCTTCTTTTATTGGCCAAAACTAATCTAGTCACTTCTTCTATGAACACAATCAATTGTGACAAAGTACTCTGGGCCTATATATATATATATATATATATATATATATATATATATATATATA